GTTTATAGTTGCCGCGACATCCCTGCTTGTTGTCTCGTGCTTTCTGCTCTGCCTTAATTTGTAATGGAAAACCACCTAAACCGAGTAGAGCCTGGCTAGGCCGAGCTGTGTAGGGCACAGTGGGCACTAATGGAAAAATGGCAATAGAGACTTTGGGAAAGGTATGCCAGTCCAGTTCCAATGCTCTAAAAGCAACTTGGTTTATCAAAGAGAACAGATGGATAACTATCAGGTAGCTAAGAATATGCTTGGATCTTTAATCCAAAATGTTAAAGGACTTTCTGTTACTTAAATGCAAAACCCTGTTTTGCAGATTGTCTCATCGGCGTCCACAGACCTGCAGGATTACACATACTACTTTGTACCAGCCCCTTGGCTGTCCTGCAAACTGCTACGCCTGCTACAATGCTACCCCCCACCGGAAGACGGCGCTGTCAAGGGTCGCCTGGTGGAGTGTCTGGAGACCATTCTCAATAAAGCTCAAGAGCCGCCCAAGTCCAAGAAGGTGCAGCATTCCAATGCCAAGAATGCCATCTTGTTTGAAGCTATATCCCTGATAATCCACTATGACAGGTGAGAACAACAAGCAGCTTCCCGACGACTTCAATTGCCCTGATGTTAAGAAGTTTTGCAAACGTTCAATTTAGGAGCTTTGCCTAGGGCTGGCTATCAATCAAAAATGTTTAATACAGCTGCCCTGCACTTCGATGCTGGTTCCCCAACAAAGTTTTTTTTCTATACCAAGATTATAAGAGAACAAAATGCAAATTACATAACATATTGTACAAATATTCTGTTTTATTTTTCAGCTTAGGTGATTTTCCACTCAAAGCGTGTCTGCTTTCTCACGACACAGATTCAAAATCTTACATTTAAGGGGGAAATCATCTGAAATTTTCTCCTTTTTATTTGAACGTTTAAACAAATTCCTCCATCCCAGTACATCACTCTGAAGTGTTAACTTCCTGTCAATTATGTGTATCAAAAAGCCCTTATCAGGGGCATGGCAATAATAGAGGTTGCGCAAATTTAAATGTGTATAGATGCTGCAAGCAGTTGATGCTCGAGGCTTTGTAGGAAATATTGACTGTTACTCATGCTTTTCTGTTAGCAACAGACCAATAGACTGTTATTCATGACTGCTTTTTATTGTGGATAAGAACCATTCTCTTGTTTTGTGTGGGGGGTAAGGGTTAGGTTAGGTTATTATAACAATTAAATTGCTGTCAGACTCCATTGTGGACAATCTATGGCCTTGAGGCCATTGTTTCACAGATGTTGACTTGAAATTTATCACAATCCAAGCAGTTATCCAGGAAAAACAAATGCAAAAATCATTGTATAAACTATTATTCCTGCCATGAAATTGCCAGCCTACTTCTGTCCAGAAAGAAAAAAATTATGAATGCTGTCTGGATTTGTCCAGGTCTCGGTTATATTCAGGAGGTCCAGAGACTGATAGTAAGATATCTGAACATTAGTGGCAAAAGAGTGACAGGTAACAGATGAGAAATATGTAAGCACTGTAAGAAAAAAACAAAACCGAAAACAAACAAAAAGGCACCACACAGCACTGCTAACGTGTGTGCAAAATGTGCAGAAAAACTACAGACTCAGCACACAGTTATTTGTGTACCTGCAATATGTTGTAAACTTTGGGAAATCATTTTCTTATTTGTTTAAAACTACAGTCATGTAATGAATCTAGAACTTAGTTTTTTTTTAAAAAGGGGACATTTTGATCTCATTACTCCTGTGCACCCAGTCTCGTCTCATGAGTAGACTTTCTCCTCGTCTCTTGCTCCCCCCCCATGTGGGCTTAGTGGGTAAAGTTGGTGTGCACCATGTGCTGTGCATAAGGACGCAAAGCAGGAGGGGGGCCGCAGCCGCAGTAAAATCATTTTTAGTCTGCATTTTCTGTATTTTGCTACAGAGCATTGGGGCCTCAATACATTTTTTTTGTGGCGGCAGTTAATTCGGATATTAAAGTCGTTACTAAACATGGCGAGGATAAGTTACGAGAATAGTGGTAGTAGTAGTAAATATTCCATTCAGTTTTAGATGAGAGTTGATCAAATGAGGGTCATGAAGCATGGAATTGAAGGAAATGTGCTTTAGAACAGGTTTCACAAACGAGGAGATACTGAATCTTTTGTAACATCAGATCAGATTGTCATAAGTATCAGGAGGTTAAAAACAATATAAAAGAAAATGCATATTTTCCGTAGAAAGAACCAGGAAGACTTCTCATCATTTTGTGACGACTTTAATTTTGTAATTAATTCCTTTTTTTATTTTTTTCAATATGGCCCTAAAACTCTGTTGCAGTATTTTACAGCGTTTTTTTTCTTTCTTTTCCATTTAATAACATATTTGCATTGAAGTACATGATCGCTTCATCAATTAGTTCCCGCCGGAACACGATCATACTACAGTGCCCATGATGCATTGCATTTGCATTTGCAATTGTGATTGCCATTTTAAACACATAGAGCGACTTCGTCACTTAAAATCGTTTTATTTCGGTAAACTAATCGAGAATCTACCGGTATATTTTTCATGTATAAGTCGCAATGGAGTATAGTTCCCCCCCGGCCAAAAGGGCAACTTGTAGTCCGAAAACTACGGTTCTCCCTTGTTATTACTCAAATTTGTTATTTTAATTGTCCTTTGGTGCTGGGATACCAGGTTAAATTCCTGTGGACGCTGTGCATTTAGCCAATAAGGCTATTTCTTATATCTGCTTCTGAATGATTTTTTTTTTTTCACAAACTGATTGTGTGTGGGGGGGGGGGCAAATCCTGGCTAAAAGTGAAGTGTATTTTTATTGTTCCGCAGTGAACCGAACCTTCTTGTGCGAGCCTGTAACCAGCTGGGCCAGTTCTTGCAGCACCGAGAGACCAACCTGCGATACCTTGCTCTAGAGAGCATGTGCACTCTGGCCAGCTCGGAGTTTTCCCATGAGGCTGTCAAGACGCACATCGAGACGGTCATCAACGCCCTCAAGGTGACAAAATATATATTCCAAGAAAATTCATTTGGAAATGCGCCATGTGGGGTCTCGTTTCCTTTTTGTAATCGTTTCTCGATGTGCGCAGACTGAGAGAGACGTGAGCGTTCGGCAGCGAGCGGCGGATCTCTTGTACGCCATGTGCGATCGTAGCAACGCGAAGCAGATTGTAGCCGAGATGCTCAGCTACCTCGAGACAGCAGACTACTCCATCAGAGAGGAGATGGTAAGGGTAACAGATTTGTGTCTGAGAGGTTTCTGTGTGTGCATGTATGTATGCGTTTCAAGTCTGAAGTCTTTTATACCCCAGGCAAATTCTGACTGTTAGTTTTATGCTACCAGCATTTTTTTTAAATTTACTTTTGAACTAAAGGTGACATGTCCAAAATTATTCATACTCTCAAATAGAAAAGCCTTTATTGGCTATTATAGCAATCAGACGCTTCCCATAAGGGCTGACCAGCTTTTTTAATGTCGCAAACTGCTCCAAATCTTTCAGGTTGGAGAGGCTCTTTGCCACCACCCTGATCTTAAGCTCCCTCCACAGATTTTCAGTTGAATTAAAGTCAGGACTCTTGTTTTTTTCCACTCCAAAACATACATTTTTTGCTATTTTTTTCATGCGGCTGTTTATACTACCATTAGGTTCCCTGGTCCGTTGGTTGAAAAAACACTCCCAACGCAAAGTTCCCACCACCGTATTTGTCAGTGGGGATGTGTTTCTTAAGGGTGCAAGCCATCTCCTTTTTTATGTCGAATGAATGATGCATCATTGTGGCCAAACACTCAGATTTTTGTTTCATTTGACCAAAAACCACTGAAGTCCTCTTTTTCATCAAGATGAGCAATTGCAGGGGCCTAGTTCCTTTTGGATCGTTGGACTTTTTTAATCCTTTCTCATAACCCCCACTGGTCAGCATGTGTGTCGCTTTTAGTTTCTGACCATCCTTTGAGTTTGTTTTACAGTGTACGTGTTAGTGTGGCGTTTTTTAATCCTTTGCATTGTAGTCACTGGAATTTGAGGACATCTAGATACTTGCTAATAAGAACCACATAATAATTACCGGCTGCAGTTTCTCAGTGGGCTCGTTTGACTAAGGCACGATTGTCCACAAACCAACTGCAGAGAGGTGCTGTTATTCACCTGTTGAGTTAATTCAGGGATAAGTTTGGGAACTGCTGAGTTGACTAAAACTAAAACCGCTGTAACCAATCGGTCTGATTTGGAATATACATACAAATTTCCGGGACCTACTTCGTATGTTGAAATATATGTTGGTTCAAATATTCCCATACACTGTAATACACTGTAATTCGTATAATTCGTTCCACAGCCCCCAAAGCTACGATAAGTCTTTAATAAATACTGCAAATAATTACACATAGCGATAAAACAAATGCAGTATAAAAGAGAGATGTAAAAATAGATAAATTATAAAGAAATAATCAATAAAAAGGGTTTCTTATTGGCACTTAACCTTAGAGATTAACGAACGGAGGTGTAGGCTTAGCGATGCAGGAGAGACGGTGTGGAGGTAGGGGTAGTGACTGAGATACGGGATGTACCGTAACTTACTCTAACTTTCACTACGTGAACTTTAAACTAACTTAGCATATTTATTTTTATTTAATTAGATTTTTTATGTTCTACTTTTATTGTTATTTTCATCGTTAAACAATACACCAGTCTTCTCCTGCTATCTGTTCATTACAACAGCATTGTCTAGCTAGACATCTGCAATTGCACAGGATATACAGATAGGGATGAATGGTTCTTCCTCTATCACACACACGAAAAATTAGATTAATGACATACAAAGATTCCGAACATAATTCCTTTGGCAAAGACCAAAAATGCTGGGGTGCACTTCTGTTATGCAATGGGAAAAATAAGTAAATAATTTACTGATGCATGAGGGTTGAAAATGAAAGGCATATAAAATAAGAGGCCAAAGAAGGGGGAAATGAATACAAGAGCTATACAAAGGATGGACGGAGGGACATATCTGATCCATCTTTCCCATCTTTTCTTAAACAGATCCCTTTTTAGTCTTTAAACAAAAGTGATTCTTTCCATCTTAAAGATGTTATAAATGATGTCAAACCCTTTGTCCACTGTAGGTCTTTCTAGTTTTCGCCACTTCCTTGTTACAGCTTTTTTAGAGGCCACTCTTAGTATCTGAAATAAGTATTTGTCATTAGAGGATACATTTTGTGATGGTGAAACACCAAAATATAATGACACAAACTCAAAATGAATATCTAACTGAAATGTATTTTACATAATGTTGTAGATCTCCTGCCAGAAAGGTAACAATATTGGACAAGACCAGAATATGTGATAATGATTCGCTTCCAGGCCCCCACGTTGTCTCCAACATATTGTTGAATTGGTATAGTGTCTTTTTTTAACTGAAAAGAGTGATAAAGAATATAAAGATAAAGTCATACATTTATTGGAAATTTACCTCGGGTGTCGAGTCGAATATTTGATCAAATTTCACCTGATATGTTGGAAAATTTGTATGTTTAGGCAATCGTAAGTAGAGGTTCAACTGTATATATACGTATATGTATAGTATGTGTGTGTATTCTCTTCCACTTCCTTGTGTTTATATCCTTCCTTTCTATTAATCTCTTTTTCTCTCTCCTCGTATTTGCTATAGGTGCTAAAAGTGGCCATCCTTGCTGAAAAGTATGCCGTAGATTACTCGTGGTACGTTGACACCATTCTGAATCTCATCCGCATTGCTGGGGATTATGTAAGCGAAGAGGTGTGGTACCGGGTCATTCAGATTGTCATCAACCGAGACGATGTGCAAGGCTACGCTGCCAAGACTGTCTTTGAGGTACCACCACATGGAATGATTAATTTCTTCTATGCCAATATTATTATTTTTTCTTCTATCTTTGTATGACAATGTAGCTCACTGATTGAGACTGTTGTGAGATAATTTGCCACTGTACTTTTAGTTCACAGTAAGATATGAAAGTGATTATTTGGTATTTTTTTAATACTCTCTTTTTCACAGATGTACACCTTTTAAAAGTATTATTATTTTTTTTTATGGAGTTGCAGAACCACATCTCACCAGGGCACCTCAACCAAACCAGTTTAGGGCTTTTGCTATAGGTGGCTCCATAGGGAACTGATAGGTTGGTGTCAGGTGCAGGTAGGGAACTTTACCATGGATGTAATTCCGTTAGAAGTGTTAAATAGCTTGATAGCTATTCATGTCCTTGTCCTTGTTAACCATGATGGTCCTGTTTTTGTTCTGCCTTTTATTAAAAGGGTGATAAAGTTCTCATGATTGCTAGGTCAAAGTCCCTAAGGTGGTGGTGATCTGTGTTATGATGGAGACGGAATGCATCATTCTTAAGTTTCTGTCTGTGTTCTTAAAAAATAAGAAAACTTGGTGGAACAAAGGGGTGTTACGTGGGTTTAAAAGAAAGACATAACTACATTAAAAAAAAATTCTACAGTACAAATTGTGGACTGAAATCAGTTTGTAACATTTTAGTAATTTTTCTTCCAGGCACTACAAGCTCCTGCCTGCCATGAGAACATGGTTAAAGTCGGAGGCTACATTTTAGGAGAATTTGGTAACTTGATTGCTGGAGACCCACGTTCCAGGTATGTTTTTTTTGTGTTTTTTGCCATGCAAAGCCATAGACATTCCATTTAAAGGGTTAGATCATAACCTGCTTGTACCTTCTAGCCCCCTGGTCCAGTTCAACCTGCTCCACTCCAAATTCCACCTGTGCTCCGTGCCGACTCGTGCCCTGCTGCTATCGGCCTACATCAAGTTCATCAACCTGTTTCCGGAGACGAAAGCCACCATCCAAGAGGTGCTGCGCTGCGACAGCCAGATCCGCAACTCGGATGTGGAGCTACAGCAGCGTGCTGTCGAGTATCTGAAGCTCTCTTCCATTGCTAGCACTGATGTCTTGGTTAGTTGTAATGTTACTTTTTTGCTGAAACTCTGGGCTTAGATCCAGTTATCAGTTATTTTTTTATTGTAATATTGTACATTACTTAGACTGTGGCATGTCCAAATCCTTAGCTTTATGTCCTCTATTTCAACAGGCTACTGTCTTGGAGGAGATGCCTCCTTTTCCAGAGAGGGAGTCATCAATTCTGGCTAAGCTGAAGAAGAAGAAAGGGCCAGGTGCCGTTTCTGTGACCGAACTGGAAGACAGCAAACGGGAGGGCGGGGAGTTGAATGGAGGAGGAGACAGAGGGCCAGATGCAGCAGTTATGGCTGCTTCTAATGCTGTAAGAGGAGTAAAATAAAGGGACCTTTAATGCAAACTGTCAAAAACATAGAAAGTACTACGTTTTCTTCGGTCTGCTATGAGGTTGTTGTGTGTGTGTTTTTCAGTCCACTCCATCGCCGTCAGCAGACCTGCTCGGGATTCGGTCTGCTGCCCCGGTTAGCGCCGCACCGGCCAGCACTGGCAGCCTACTGGTGGACGTCTTTTCAGAGGCGGGACCTGCTGCGAGTTCTGCTGCCGTGACTGACGACGGCTTCCTCAGGTAAAAATTACTTTCAAGATCACCTGTTCGTTGGCTTGTCCCTAACCTTTTTTAGCGGCCGATATAATTGTATTCACTACCACAGATGGGTGAAATGTTTATACTATGGGATTTTTATTAAAGTCGTATTCATAATTTGCTCTGCATCTTCAGGGCTTAAATATAATTCAAATTGTGTAATAAAATGAACATAAAGCACCGTAGTTCATAAGTATGAAAAAGAATGGCTACAATAATGCATTAACTTTGAACTTGCAAATTTCTTCTTATTAACACTGCCTTTAGTGACGAATAGAGGATTATAAAAATGGAGGTAATGTTTTGAAAAGTAAAGCTAAACTTTTACTCTACTGGAGATCAGCTCAAATACTTTATCTCTAAATTAGGTTCCTGCAAGGTTTCAGACCCCACTGGGAACTAATCATATTTATGCAACTTAAATTCTCTCAGTAGGAACTAAGACATTGACTTCTGTGGGATGAAGATGGCTCTTCATGAAATGAATTAACTTCAGGGCAACAATATGCAAATATAAAAAAAATTTCAGCCAACATAAATTGGATTTCCAGAGTTGACTCTGGCCCCTTTGCAATGTTCCAATTTATGTATATTAGATAAAAAAATGGAACAAAGAAAAGGTAAAATGACAAGAATATTCTGTTTGTTTTTGTTTTTTTAATTGAATTTCATCTGTAGTTCTGTGATGTGTTCTTATGCCTGTACATTTGTTACTAAACGGCATGCACTTAAGCCTGTGTTAGAACTCACAAAATCATATACAATTTTTTTTTTTTTATTCATGCCGTTTTTCAACATGATTTTATGATGATGTCATCCTTATCTGCAAATTCTGGTTGAATATTCACTCTTAAAGTGGTCGAGTCTAATTAAAATTTCACAGTTACAAAAACCTAAATAAAAACAGGCTTTCATAATTGATTTATAATATTTTCATCACCAGCATCAGGCACGATAAGTCATCCACTTTGGTTAGTCCCTGATGGTTTGTATCGGAAGATGGATTTTAGGACTCTCTCTACACAACAAACTGGTCGATGTTTAAACACTCTTCAATTAAACTTGATGAGTATGCCAGCACATTAACAGGTTCTGCATGGATCCGACAGTCAATGCAATGGTGCAAAAAGCCACAAGTCCAAAGCAGGAAACCAAGTCACTCGGGGATGCACTGATGCCAGTACTAGATTCCATGTGTGAGAACTTTTATTCACAAATGTAACCCGATACTACATGACCCGATACTAATGTGAGGGAGCTTAGTTTTTCATTCGTCAAGCCAGTATTTCTTTGCACACCAACACTCCAGGCCAGTAAGCGCTGATGATACAACATCAAATAAATGCAAGCCACATCAGAAGAAGACGGTGTAGGGTAATGTAACAGAACACTCAATGGTAGGGTGACTTCAGGGAAGCCAGTTGGTACGGTATTTCGAAGTTAGGGGAAAGCCCATGGCAAATCTGCTCAGGAAAAGTTGCCATGGATAAATAGACAAATCAGTAAATGAAGTATTGTCAATTTAATGGCATGGAGTGAAACAGCATTTAAAAGTGCTCGTATCGATACTCTGCATGGGCTAGCAAACATACAAACTTGTACCAGCCAAACCGACCATGCGCCGCAAGATTCACTTCTACACTGAATCTCTGTCTCTTGCTCCATTAAAAGCAGCTTAAAACTTGGGTGTCATGACTGATGACCAGCTGACCTTTTAAAGATTGCTCCATTTCTCCATGAATCCGGCTGTGCCTAATCCAACATGCCACCCAGCTCCTGGTGCAGTTTATAGTTATCCCCCGCCTTGTTGGTAGTGGTGAGGGGGACCCCACATGCGAGAGAAGGAACCCAAAGAACACAACAAAACAATAGTTTATTTAAACTACAATAAAAAGTGCAGCGTAGCAGGATATCAAAACTAAACTGATCTTGAAACCAGGGGTGCAGTGAAATACCAAATCCAACCTTGGAGAAACACTAAAAACCTGACCGGACAGGGCAGAGTACATACTGAGAACAGGTAAGAATCTGGCAATGACTGACAAGTATATATCGAAGGAAGCGTGATTAGTGGAAGAAAAGCAGGTGAAGAAACCTCAAGGAAGTGAAGTAGACTGAGAGACACAAGGAGTAGACACAAGATTCTGAGAAGGATTGCCAAAATAAAGACAGGAAGCTAAGAGAAAAGGTAGGAAACTAAGACACAACCTAGAAAACAAACCGGAATATAATACAAAACCCTGCAACAGCTCTTCGTTGCATTGGTTTTATGCTGGATAAGTGGTGTGATTTGACATAGGGGTTTAAAAAAAAAACTGACTAATTCGGTCAAAAAACCCTTTCTACTTCTTTTGCTTTAAACATGTTGTCTTGATTCATGGTTGCTGGAAAATGTATTCTGTCTCTGATATGCTGTAACTAAAAATTCCGCCTAATATCAACTACAAGACATGACAAATATTGTTTTGCGCCTCTGAAAATGGTTCTGTGTCACCAAGCTCTCACGACAAAAGCTTAGAACACTTTTGATGCACTCATTTAATCAGCATTAGGAGACATTTGTGTACACAGTGTATGCAGTGACTTAGAAGGAAATGGATAAGCTTACACATGCCTTTAATGCGCTCTAAATTCTGCATGTGTTCACTCTCTCAGACTGCAGCATAACTGTACCCGGTTGTAACGTTCGACGTGTGTGTGTTTTTGGACTATGGCTACGTTCACACTACAGGCTGAAGTGACCTAAATCAGTTCTTTGGGTTTTTTCCCCCCCTTCAGGACAGTCTGATTAACACCGATCAGTTATTTTCAAATGCGGCCCAGGCACGCGGTCCTAAATCCAACATGTATGCGATGGTTTCAAATGTGAGCTGTGCTTCTACAGCCAGGTCGCGTTCATCCGACCTGCATGCCATTGATACAAACGCCACTAGTCCTTCTATGCAGAAAGAAAAACGACAACCACGGTGGACGATAATGTGGAGAACTGTAAGTGGAGAGAAAGCGATGTTTCTGACTTAGTATTTGGAGGGTCCATAACTATCCTGGCCAAACCCATTGGAACTGGGCAATTTTTGTGGGCGTTTCCCAAGAAATGGCCAAGCGCGCATTGCTATAAAACACGCTCCCTAAGCGTGACGTTATTGTGTCCTTTATTGCGCACGCGGTGTACCTTTAGGTTGGTTTGCCGGTCACATAGGATATCGCATGCCAACGCAAACATTTTGAATTGCGAAGAACCATGCATAGCAATCCTGATCTCACAGAAAAATCAGAATCGACCATGAAGGCCTGCAGTGTGAACATAGTGTCTAATTGTAATATATCTGTACTATGGGCTTCTTTACTTTCTTCCTTTGCTTTATATTTTGTCTAAAGAGACCTGCCAATCTGTAGACATCAATTGTCAGACATTATGGGATATTAATGATGTAAAATAGAACTTTTTTGTTTTCCAATGGAATGGATTGGTACAACCTATGAATGTGGTTAGTTATTATTTAGGTTAAATGGGGTACAAAATTGCTTAGCTTGTGATAAGTAAACTCTCTTTCAGTTCAAAGGTTTTATATATCAGAATACATAAGTTGGACAAATGAGTCGTTAGCAAGCCGACTGGCCCGGTAGTCATGATGGGATGGCAATTTTTTCACCCTTTTTTAATAACGAGATGCAATGTCATTTCTTCATCTCAAGTATTTGCACAATTTTTAACCCTTGAAGCAATGTGAAACGGATGGAACTTTCTTTTACAACACATGAAACCTTGTAAGACAAAGAGGGTGTCATTTCTATTTCACTTTACTAAATGTCTGGACACTGTTCCAAGGCAATCTGAAAAATTGACACAGGAAACCCAAGGGGGTGGTTAGATGGTTGCTTGGCAGGTCTGCTACACAGTTTTAATTTAATCTTACTATGTATGTGACTGTCTTTTGTGTTTTTCTCTTCCCTCTTCTCTTTTTTTCCCTGTGTGTGTCTGCGTATGTGCTTGTGTGTGTGTGCGCTTTGACTTGAATGTCTATCTCCTGTCCTCTACCATGATTGGACATTGACAGAGATCTGGAACAGCCCACTGAGACTTCTGATTCCCTATTGGTGGAGGGGTCTTGTGGCTCTGAGTAAGAGTGTAGATGTAAACAGAATTAATAGTGGTTAGAAAAACGCAACCGACACGCTGTCACTTTTTTTCCCCAAGATGTACTTATTATCTTTGAACAAACATATTAGGCTTAAAGGGCTTAAGCCTAACCCATTTCCATTTTTAGTTGTACAACATTTTAGATTATAGATGCCAGCCAAAATAATGACATTAGACTTAAATGTGTTGGTAGAACTTCACACGGCCACGTGCTATTTGATAGAATTGATCATTTGAATTCATTCATTCATATTTTGGTGTAAATAGGGGCAACTTCAAATTCACCAAATGCAACAATGGTTGTTCCATGATGAATTTGAACAAATCAAGTGCTAGACATCCTTATTATGTGGAGTATTTTCTGTTGCATTAAGTGTTTTATTTGACAAAAAGTTGGATATACATCTTTTTTTATCTGACTTGTTTAGTAGTTCCATTATGCATATTTATACACATATATGTGCTTGTGTGTGTGTGTGTTTCTCTTTATATATATATATATATATATATATATATATTCACACAGTATATATATAGTGTGTGTGTGTGTGTGTGTGAACAGTATATGTGAATATATGATTTCCTAAAATTCATACAGTTGAATCTTTTATAGTGCTTTTATATTTTATAAGTATATTTTATAAGTATTTTTTTTAATAAGATCAGTTTTTGCAACTGCTCTAACTAACCATACTAACCAATGTTTTTAAAGACATTCATCTTTCCGCACTTTTCTTTTAATTCCTCCTTGTTTGACAGCTATGTTTTTTTTGTTTTAAAAATGGCCCTATATTTCACATTTCCATCCTCCTTTTGTCTTGTGATCTTCTCTTTATCTTTGGGCTGTCTTTTGGTCTTTCAGCTCTGCTTCTCCCTCTGAGGATCCTGCTCCTCCTTTGTCTGAGGCAGACGAGCTTCTTAACAAGTAAGGCTTTCTATATGTTTCTCAGGCAATTAATACTGGTCTAATGGCCTTCAAAGAAAGATTAATGCTCACCATAAATGGTTAAAAAGCTATTCTTTTTTTGATGCAGGCTTTTAATGTCACCTTGCTTTTCCACCCTAAGTTTTAGGGTTTTGATTGTGTTTACAATTTATTTTATTTTATTATTTTTCTTTTAAAATACCAGCATTGAACAAGGATGTGTGTGGATGTGCCCCTTTTCACTGCCATAATAACCATTTGTGTGAGTAAAATGTTAAACTGGTGTTGGAAAGTCAGCCTGTGCTGGAAAGAGCTGGAAGAGCTCTACAACAATTTTCGGTGCAAGGATTACCATTTACCAAAATATAAACTCGTATATCAAATTAGCAAGTGAACAAGAAGGTAACAAGGCTAATTTGTTCAGCCTGTGGTCATTCTTGTGTTCACTGAGCAACATTTGTATGAAAAGGGAATCTATGATCTTATGCAACACTATTTGTTTATTGCATATACTGTTTAATGGAAATCCAGTCTGGGTGTCATTAGTACTATATTACATGTCCAAATGAGTTTGTGAACTAAATGTAAAACCATTTTAAATATTCCAAAATACTTTATAATGAATAACTGCAGTAAATTTGTTAAACAAACGACTCAAACCAAAGGGGAAAAAAGATAAATAGCTCTTGGGGATTGTTTCTGTACAGGGTTTAGTGTTTTTATAAATGTATATTGTGTGCCTGTGTGTGCGTATGTCTGCAGGTGTGTCTCAATGTATTTCTTTCTTTTTCTGTGTGTGTGTAGGTGGGTGTGTGTGTGTGTGCGCGAGCATGTCATTTTCAAAGACTTGTCTTTCCTCAACCATTCATCTTTTTGTACAGGTTTGTGTGCAAGAACAACGGTGTGCTTTTCGAAAATCAGTTGCTACAGATTGGCATCAAGTCAGAGTATCGTCAGAATCTAGGTGAGTTTTTTTTTTGCATTTATGGTCTTGCTTTTGTGGACTCGACAATGATAGCAGAGTTTTAATTTCCAAGGTTTATGGTTCAGATAGCTTTTACCATTAGATGTTTGAAATAAACTAGATTTGGGGACATGATTTAACACACTTTAGATTTCTGTTATAACACCATAAAGATTCAGCCTACGGCCAAAGCCATGAGCTTCTTGAGATTTTGCTGCAATGGGTTAGCTGTGAGAAGTTGAGCTGAGCATTTATCCAAAGGGATATTACATTTTCTCATTTTCTTACGTGTTGTCTGACTACCCTATGGTCTTACTTTTCAGTTATGAACATTTTCCACACAGTTTACACAATGACCAAATCGGCTTGACCATATAGGATGTTATACATGCCTGTATGTTTTTAAATATAGACATTTGGACATTTTAACTTAACAGAGGAGCAGCAAAGAATTAATCAAGGAACTGCAGCTTTTGGCTCTTAATTCTTTCTGTATTCCTTAACTTCCGAGTATGTTCATCCATAGGGATTTTTTTTTTTTTAAATGCTTAATGTTTTTTACCATGGCTGATGTATTTAGTATTTTTGTATGTATTTTGAATCTTTTGATTTCTCTGTCATTCTTAGGGAGAATGTACTTGTTCTATGGTAACAAGACATCGGTGCAGTTTGCCAGCTTCACCACCGCTGTCAGCTGTCCTGGAGAGCTTCAGTCTCATATCCTTTGAAACAAAAAAATACAAATTCCTTGCAGCTGGAAATGAGAAGGAAGAACAATCATCTGCCAGTTGGAATATTGGTGGCTGTTATACCAAAGCCAGTATCAACACACCAACATGTGTTTGAGCGTAGTCTCCAATTAGACTAAGATTATGTTTTAGTTCGGGAGTAAATGGTCAGTCATGTCGTGTAATAGGACTTTAAGTGGTAAGCTTGACTAAAACAAACCAAAAAAAAGCCCTAAAATTCTTTTTTTTTAAGGTGTTTTTTTTTTTTCTTGGTGTATGATTTTTTTTGTGGACCTTGACAACCGGTTACAGCTGAATGTTCAAACCAAAACAGTGGAACCACTGGTAGAGGGTGGAGCCCAGATCCAGCAGGTCCTTAACATCGAGTGCTTGACTGACTTCTCTGATGCCCCACTGCTCAACATAAAGTTCAGGTAGTTTATAACCCATCTAAATGACCTCAAATCTTAAAAGTGACTTTGCAATGCCAGAGTTGTTCAAGTTAATAGCCAACGTTCTTTTATTTTAAGGTTCCCTGACAGGTTTTTCCATGTTTTGTGGCTTATCTGTACTGTTAAAATGGTGTAGCTCAAAAGAAATTATGAAAAGCTTTTATATATTTTTATTTTTTTATGCATGCAGAAGTTATTGTTTTTACCCTGTTTAAATGTTATGTTACAACTGCCCTAAATTGCCGCATTGGTAGCTACCAAAATAATTGTTTTATGTTTTGTAATTGTTAAGCTAAATGTTGAAGCTCTTTAGCCAAAGTGATATTTTTTGCTCTAAAGTTTCCATTTTACTATTATCAATTAATTTCCAATTAGACTGTTTTACCACAAAAAATGTTTTAATAATGAACAAACTTTTATTTTATCAAGCTGTCAAATTTGATTTACTTCAATACTTGACATAATAATAATTTAAGTGTTTGAAAATTGTGCTGATGCATTTCTTGATTAGGTTTAGGATATAAAAGAAAGAAATCTTAATCAGTTTAAGATAGTAAACATTAGGATCTCACTTTCAAAGAGTTCTAATTAAATCGTTTAATGACGCTGGATTGCCTCAGAGACAAAGGTACAGGGAAAAGTACTAAGTTTTGTCAAAGTCATTAAAGTCCATTGCAGAGACCCATATTTAAAAATTAAGGCAGGAAACAAAAGTAACCTTTTGCAGATATCAAACATTTAAAGTACTGTATTTTCAAGACCATAATTCACATAAGTCGCACCAGCTATTATATCCATTATAAACAAATATAAACCATAAATAACTCGCACTGGACTATAAGTCACATGGACATACAGGTATGTTAACTTAAAATGTAAAGTTCAGATGAAAATCCATTTATGATAATATATGATAATATATTTATCGTACTACAGTGCCCATGATGCATTGCATATCCGTTTCTGGTGGCCATTTTAATACAGAGCGACTCTGTCACGTAAAATAGTTTTACAGTAGATTAATCGAGAATCTACTAGTGTATTTTTAATTTCTAAATCGCTCTGGAGTATAGGTCGCACCCCCGGACAAAACATGTAAAAAAAAAAAAAAAAGTGCAGCTTATAGTCTGAAAAATACGGTGCCAGAAGACAGAAGGAAGACAGGTAGTAGCCAAATCAAATTCCATGTGGGATTTAATAGATGCAAAGGTTGATCACGCAAAAGTTAAATCCTCACCAAGTCTGTAGGAACAGTTAGGAAAAAAAATATATATATTTTTTTAACCTAATAACAAGAGAAACCGTCAAAAGGTTAGTAATCATTATAAAGGCACAATATAAATTTTTATCAAGACCAAAGCAAGCCATTCAAAACATTAACTTTTCAGGCTATGATGTAAAAGTGTTAGATTGTAAGTCAAATGTCACAGGACACCATTTTATTTCGGACATATCGGAATACCTCAGCAGTGTGGGAGCCTATCCTTTCTGCTAGGTCCGTAACATGGTAGCCATCTTGAAAGCCGCCATATTGGATCAAGGCCAAGTTTCTCCAATGGCAACTTGGTTATGTAGCATATAGAAGAGGAATTGCAACTGTTACATTTGAAATGTCTCTTGTGGGTGAAAGGTTATCAGCGTAGGAAGCTGCAACAGCTGGGAATTCTCTCAGCAGGGTGTCAACAAACATTTAGAACTTTTTTTTTTTATGTTAGTTTTAGCAAATCTGATTGCGACATAGAGACAGTTGTAGTCGTTTTTGGTATGCTTTTGACTATAATTAGCGATTTCTAAGAATGAATTTTTTAAGCGGTGGTCTGGTAGATTAAAGCATTGTATTCATGGTTAGCAGTTAGCAGATAGCTCAATCCAAATCGAACAGCAGACAAAAACATTTTTCTGAAAGATTTGTAAATCTTCTGTTTCTTGCGTGTGCTGTTATGGTCAGATATGGAGGGGCTTTGCAAAACCTGACCCTCAAACTGCCTGTCACGATCAACAAATTCTTTCAGCCGACTGAGATGGCTTCACATGATTTCTTCCAGCGTTGGAAACAGCTAAGCCAGTAAGTGATGTTGTTGGTGTGTGTCTCTCTCTCTGATTGGTCAAGGCTTTTATTCTGCTGTTATGCTTCGCAAAGCTCCCATGACATGTTTTCCTTTTGTTTATAAATGGGGGGTGGGGGTTAAACTCTACGTTTTAAACTTTCAACTAAAAATAATCACGATTGGCCAAGCTGGAATGGTCTCCATAGTAACGCCCCAACAAATCCGAATCAGCTGCAGCGAAATGAGGGAAACATAAACGCTATTTTTGACGGCTTTCCCCCTAAACTTCACGGGTTAAAACTTACATGACCAATGAAAACTTAAACAAGAACATGACATAACCACGTTTAATCACACACAACATTAAAATTAAACATGGCGGATTAATTATTCATTTCAGCCTCTCGGTTGCTTTTCAAAAGCTCAGAGCCACTCAAGCTATTTCTGTTTTTATTGGCCAACTATTGATCACCGATGAGTGCATGTTGTTTGGTATCTCTGAATATATCAGTAAAACTCATTTTAAACTAATTCTTCAGTAATGGTATTTGTGGCCTTTCTCTCTGTAGAAAATAACAATTTGACTTGAGCTGTATTTCACAGCTCTTTCCAGAAGAATCTTAGCAGTAACTCAAGAGCTCAGGGTCCCGTTACAACTAAAAATAGCATTTCAATGTTGTTTACCAGTCTCTCCAGTTAAGTAAGGTACAAACATGACCCGTTACATGTCTCAAAACATACATTTTGCAGGCCAAGTTTAAAATCAATGCTTTAACTTACTGTGAAATGGTCAGATTTGCTCAGCAGCACATCAAGTTGTTTAGGGGGATAAATACAGCTCCAGTTAAAAAAAGGATTTTAAAGCAAAACAATGGCTTTTCTCGTCACAAAACCCAATATCAGTTGTAGTCCTCCAGTCTTAACACACTGTTTACTACAAGAACACTTAAAGCACCAGCACTCTGTTTAAAAAAAATAAAAAAAAAACTTAATTGTGCATGTAGGGCCACGTAGAGTCCGCTATATATTTCTAATTCGAGTACAATTGAGTTTATGACAGTATTGATATGTTGCATCACTTTCTAATGGTCAGCCATGTGGATTCTTGATTTTGAAGGTTTGAAAAATGAATGGTGCATCACTAGTCCTGCATTGTCAAAATATTGTTTTGTTTAGTCGGTATTTAAGTTTACAAAAAGAAAAGCTCTGCAAATGCTAACAGTGACTCTTTCTGTGTTTTGTGGTTAAAAGGATTACAACAAGGGATTTTTTTTTTCTGTCTTGTGCGATGCAGAGTACAAAAAATCTGTTGCACCATCCCAAAGTGCCTCAACCGTTAACACAGTTAAGATTGTGGGGAACTATTGATGCACACTAATCTTCTAAAAAAGTTTATTTGTCTCTGTTAAGGCCTCAGCAAGAAGCACAAAAGATATTCAAGGCCAACAACAGCATGGACACGGAGGTACTCAAGGCAAAGGTAAAAAACAAAATTCAAGTCTTCTTCTGTGTGCTTTTCTGAACAGCTTTTTTCTTAAATATGGGAGAAACACATCAGATACGGTAGTCTAATGCTGTTACCATCTATCGGTCTGTGTTTACTCATTCTTAAATACTGGTAGATGAAGTCATTATTCTGTATTTTATTTCATTAGTGTCATACAAACCTATTGTCCCTTCATTCAAAAGCGATATTTGTGATGTAGTGCGTAAAAAAGATTTTTGATTTAGAAAATAATTGAGCAATAATAGCAAAACTGATCTAGCCTAGATTCACCATTTGAATCGGTCATTCTACATTTCTTTCCCTCATTCTTTGTGATGCATATATATGTGTGTGTCTTAGCTGCTGGGTTTAGGAATGGCCCTGCTGGACAACGTCGATCCAAATCCCGAGAACTATGTGTGTGCTGGAGTTATCCAAACGAAGGGTCAGCAGGTTGGCTGTCTGCTAAGACTTGAGCCAAACGCTCAGGCACAGGTACGAGACAACCAATCACTGTAAAGCCAATTCAAAAAGATACATAAATAAAATCACAATGCTTAATCTAGTCCCAAGTTATAAGCTTGTTACCGTATCATCTTCCGGACAATAAGTCACACTAGCCACTATATCCATTATAAAGATAAAGAAACCATAAAAAACTGGACTATAAGTCACATGGACATACAGGTATGTTAACTTAACAGGAAAAGTTCAGATGATAATATTGTGATGGCAAAAGGAAGAAATGGCGCCAGCTTGAATTGAGAAGAATTGTTTTTACAGAATACATGAATGTGGTTCTGCAACAGATCAATCATTACTCACAACAAGCAGGTCACTGTGGCCCAAAGCTCCACAGCACCGTCACATTTCCATCAAAACGAACATGCAAACAAGTTCACTCAACCCTCAGTTTCACT